TATATGTGTGTGTGTGTGTGTGCGTGTGTGTGTGTGTGTGTGTGTGTGTGTGTGTGTGTGTGTGTGTGTGTGTTGTGTGTAGGCATGCCTCTTCACTCCCCTCTACACACAGATAACCCTGATCAAATGCCTTTTAAACCATTAGATGAAGTTCTTTGCTTATGATCCAAGCACCAAACATCCCGATATCGAAGGCAAGAAACCACAACGATTGGGGCAATGTTTTCGCTATAACGAGGTTAAGAGTTAAAAGGTAAAAATAATGAAAAGAGACAATATGAAAAAAAAGAAAGTCCTGGTTCGGGAAACATAAAAGTTTGTGAGTGTAACGGATGGAAATGAGGTTTTGTGTGCTGCTGTGCCACGAGGGAGGTGCACAAGAGAGAGAGAAAAGGAAAGAGAAAGGGAGGTGGATAAATAGATAAATGGAAAAACGGGTAGATAGACAGACAAATAGAGAAAGAGATATTACAGATAAAATAGACAGATAGATACTTAAATAGAGACAGAGACAGACAGAAAAATGGACAGACAAACAGGTGTAGAGACGGAAATATAGATAAATAGATAGATAGATAGATAGATAGATAGATAGATAGATAGATAGATAGATAGATAGATAGATAGATAGAGAGAGAGAGAGAGAGAGAGAGAGAGAGAGAGAGAGAGAAAATGATGTACCCGAGAAAACACTAAGAATTATGTACCACAAACCACCTGAAATAGTGAAGGGCAAGAGAATTGCAACATACCCATTTTTACTTCCACTTTTTGCAGAATAGAATACCAATGAAAGATGGATATCAAAGATGGATTTTTGAAGCAAAAAAAAAGGAAGAAGAAGAAGTAAAATAACGCAGAGAAGAGAAAAGAAACCAGAAATAAAGATGAGGAGAGGGAAAGCGTAGTTGGAGCAGAAAAAGATTGAAGATGGAGGAAGGAAAGAGAGAGAAAGGATAGCTATAGATAAGTAAATAGAACAGAACAGAAGGGTGGAATAAAAGGAATGTTCATGAGATATCTACAAAGAGAGAGAAAGAGAGAGAGAGAGAGAGAGAGAGAGAGAGAGAGAGAGAGAGAGAGAGAGAGAGAGAGAGAGAGAGAGAGAGAGAGAGAGAGAGAGAGAGAGAGAGAGAGAGAAGTCATAAATAGAGCCCTGGAGTAAAATAGTAATTAAACGGCACACAGATCAAGGAATGCGTCAAGGCAGATGCAATCGCCCCGGGCAGAAGGAACGTTGCGCAAAAAGGCCACCGGATTTCTGCGAGAGATTGCAAAGAAATATTGCTCGGAACAACACAAAAATGTCACCGGGGAAAAGGAGGGAGGAATATTGCCAGCGCGATAAGTAAGACCAAAGGGAAGAGTAATGGAAAGCCGCTGTCAGAGTCGACCCAGGCATTTTGTCGACACGAAAATGACCTTTTCTTGAAGGACGCCGAAGGAATAACCAGCAACACACACACACGACGCAATTGCTTCGAAACAGCGAGTTCGAAGCCGTTAAGAAATACAACGGACGGTTAACGAGGTTGAAGGCTTTGCAACGCAGCGGCGATAAAGCGACTTTGCCGCTTTTAGGGAGAGCCACAAGGCACGACGCAGGGAGAGCGAGGCGAGGGAGCCGGCGTGGCACAGAGCCAAGTCTTGCGCTCCTGCAGCCACCGCGAGAGCACTGTGGCTCGCTGTCTCCCCGCTCCGTCGTTTCCAGGGCGCACGGGGGGCATGAGGCGCCGGCAGCAGCGATCTTGAATATCTGTTACAATCAGTGAATGTTAGGAAAAAGCAAAACACTCTACCGGAATATTTTTCTATTTTTCAACCTAATCCGGTTTGGTGCCATGTACTCCCTCGCGTTCCTTTTCACCGGCTTTTGTACACAACATGATTTTTTTTTCTTTTACAGAAATACATACGAATGATAAACATCGTTTACGTATTGATATTTGATAAAATTACTTTTGCGAGACATGGCGACCCTCACAACCGTTTGGAAATCCCCCTTAATTTTTTTAGTCTTCAGGTGTGAACATGAAATCCAGGGGGATCTCGAAACTGTTGTCTCACTTTCCAATAAATTTTCGCTGTGTGCTTTTTCTGCCTCAACTTTTAGTGTTAGAATTGTCGTGTATTTTATCTCTATTTTGATATGTACTCTTATTCTGTGATAGTCAATGTGATTTGATTATCTGACTACTTAGCATTATTTTTCTCTGATCCCAGATTTCCTCTCTTTCTTTTACAAGAAGGAAGGTAAATAACGAACATTTTCAGGCTCTCCTCTGACGACCCGACGCCGCGACCCCCCCCCCCCCCCAGGCCGGAAGCCGCGAGGCCGAGGGGAAACGTGATCAGTCAAAGAGCAGATTGAGGGAAATATGAGGGAGAGGACAAGGGAGGAGCGGGTAAAGGGAACAGCAGGGGAGAGGGGAGGGGAGGGGAACGGAGGAGGGAGGAGAGGAAAGGAGGGGAGGGAGGGACCTGTAATTGGCTTGTCACGTTCCTGACAACTTCTTGTGTATCTGTGCTGAGGGCGAGGAATGAGGAATTCCGCGAAGCCGCCCTGGGAAAACCTCTTTGTTGTATTTGGCTCCACCGTCTGGCCATTGTTGCTCGCGGCGCACTGTGCAATTGCATGTTTGCTGTTATTCAAGGCGTTTTCAACTGCGTTCCCTAAGGAGGTGGAAATGTCAGAGCCTTGGAATAGTTCCTTTTATGTATATTTTTTCATATATTTCATATATAGATATTTCTTATTCTTGGTACCATCATATGCTAAGTTATTGTAAATAATTTTAATGACTAATTTGAATATGAAAAATAAAAATATGTTTCTCATGCCTTGCAAAAGCATATACATACATACGAGTCCCTCTTTCTCTCTCTTTCACTTTCTCTCATTACACACACATACACACACACACACACACATACACACACACGCACACATATACACACACAAAACACACAGGCACACGCACACACACACACATATGCATATCTATCTATCTATATCTATCTATCTATCTATCTATCTATCTATCTATCTATCTATCTATATATATATATATATATATATATATATTATATATATATATATTATAACAAAGCATTAAAACTCTGCGTATCCAGTTTGTCTTTAAACTGCGCTGTGGCTCTAAATTAAAACATAAACAGTCAAGTGTCGTGTTTGCAACGATCAGCGGGCATTATCTGGGCATTCTCAAGTCTTAATTAAATAATTAACTGTATAACTACTTAAAAACAAAACTTTCCCCACAAATGTTCAGTCACACT